GAATTATGATTTAAAATACTATAGTTCAGCAAGTAAAAATTTGTCTGAAGTGCAATTAGAAGAAAAGCTAACTATTTTTTCATCAGATAATTTCAACTGCCATTGCATCTCCATAATTTAAAATGAAGATAACAGATTCCATTGGTACTTTCAATAAATTTCTTATACGCTGAAGAAAATTTCTGCTGACTGTCAAAAAAAATTCTGTATACTGGCAGCAGTCTGCAGACAGCAGGTGAGGGAAATCTAACCTATAGAAATAATGTGCTTCAAGAAAAGATCCCTAGCAGAAAGAAGCATTGGAAATCTCTGGTCTTCTTTTGGCTTTCAATTCACAACACAGTTCCAAAAGCTGTGTCTTGCATGGACTACAGTCAACCCCCATCTAACATACCTCCCAGCTAATGGATTTCTGTCTAATATACCGCCTCCAGAGCAGGATTGTTGATTGCAATCAAAAATATGATTGCCAAATTGAATTTGCAGTCCAGCAAGAAACTTATTCTCAAATCAAAAACAATTGCAAGGCACTAATGTTTCAAATCCCCAATTGCAATCACAATGCATTTGTTCATATTCTTCCCAATTGCAATCACGATGGCAACTTTAGGATTTCCAACCTGTACTTTTTACAATACATTCATTGTACTAATCCCTGATTAATATCAAATTACTGCCAAAAAGTCAATTCTGTGAATGGATGAGGAGAGTACCAAACAAAATCTATAATCAAAACAATACTTTTGCATAATATGGGAGCCATCTTTTCTCATTCCATTCAGACTTCTGTTTATCTTTTTCAGTTTCTGCCTACAACACTAGTATTCTACGAAAATGTCCTTCAATTCTAAATTTTGAATCATTATTCATTTCAATTTCTTTAAACTTGTAAAAGTACTGATGCATTCCAAATTTCTTTTTTCTTCTTCGCAAAAAAAATTAATCATTCTCGGGAAGAAAAAAACAAAATTTGGAAGATACATTCCAGTTTTTTGTTCTTGAATTCAAAATATTTGGGAATTGAAATACATCCATATACAGTACTTTTACAATATAAAAAAATTTGAAATGAATAGTTAAAAATCGAATTCTTTTTTCCTGGATGAAAAGCATAGAATCATTGGGAATCAAGGATGAAACCCTGTAAAACAGGGAGACAACTCCAGCAAAACAAAAACAAAAAACATGGACAGCATCTAATGGTGCTTATAGTCATAGTCTATCCTCATCCTGTCCTCAGACTTTAAGGCAGAAAATGAAAAAAATGAACAGAAGTCTCCTAAAATCTCATGATAATAAAAAATGTATCACAAGCAGAAACCAGGCTTTGGAGGATTTTTTTGAAGAGAAAAGAAAAAAATAATCAAAAATGAAAAGTGCTTTTGGAAAAATACAAAATGGACTTGGTTTTTCATTTGTGGCAGACTGTAAATTACAGAAAATATAGGAAATATTGTTCTGAAAGCAAAAAAAAAAAATTCGATTTTTTTCTGGAATGAAACATTTTTAAAAGCTTGTGACATGGATGGAAAATGCTTGCAAAAACTGGAAAGTTTTCCCTTCCTGTCTTGCTGTAAATCTAAAAACTTTCAAAAAAACTATTTGGATGAAGTAAATGTTAGAATTTTTCAAAGTGGTATATCTAGTCTAGAAATACCCAAAGTCAATCAGAAATGGGAAAACCCTCCGATATGATACTTAATTGTCTCATTATGTCATTACTGTATATATGTACTTGTACATGTTTTTATAACTCAACTTTGTCTGTTGAAAGAAACAAACGGGTCATCTGTGAAGAATCCTTCCCACTTTTAGCATTTATTCCCAGCTTCTCATACTTAAGATACAGTATATTAGTGGAAATATATTCTTCTCAATATTATCCGAGTACCTCGAATAACCAGAAAATAATTTTCAACTGACAGCTTAGTATCAGAGCAAGACCTTTATTTCTGCGAGCTACATTGCCAGTTTCAAGAGAGAAAAAATTTGTATTCTCTTTGTTTTTTAGACAAGTTTATATGATATTGATATGTCTATAGGTCGGCGATATGCGATGTGCATTCAAGCGATTCACACATTAGTGACATAATTTCTATTCCGAAAGTTTTGCCACTGAAAACAAAAGCGCCGGAAGAACAAAGCTCGCGATGGTGAAAATAATCTGCTAATGAGGCCCCGTTGACTTTCAAACGACACTTTATCCACGGCTGTTAGCCTGAATAATCTTTGTTCTTTGATCGTTCGAGTCATTTAGTTCATTTTTTTGGGAAAAAAGACATTGACCGAGAAATCGGGTCATAGCTTATTTTCACACGTGATAAAATCATCGGCTGCTTTTCGTTTTCTCCCAGATTTTTGATAGAAGGAATTCCAACCGAGTGGAAGAGCTTTCTCCGAAACCAGCGGAATACTGTATGTCACTTCCCCTGAATTTGAAATTAAAGTATTTCGGAAACTGAAAGGTTAAATTTTGAACTCACGGTCATAAATGAAAATGATATACGTTCGTGTGTCATTTTTGAATCAGAAACACGCACAGTTTTACAAACTTTTAATTTTGGGTAAACTTCTCTTCCTGCTTTCTCAATTTTTTGTGTATGAAGTTTTCAAACTAGGATAGAATGAATTCTGTCCATTTAAAATATAAAGTCAACTGCTCGGCATGAAAAACTGTATGAATCGTACATTGATTATTTTGAAGTACATTCATAAAAGTTTCAATATTTGACAAATTCTTGTGTAAAACGAATTGCATGTGCACCTTTTTGACACTGAATTTTCTCAAAATGTTCTCAACAAAATAAAGGTTCGCATCTTACTTGAATAAATACCGAACTACTGTATATAAAGATTTGCAGATGAATAGAACATTCTGGAATGATACACTTCTCAAATATAATGGGTCACTTTGCTTCTTTTGGATATCGAAATGAAAAATGGAGTATAAAAAATGTGAAGACTAAAAATATTTCAGAAAAAGTATGTACAGTTTACTCCCATGTAATTTTAAAAGTATTTCACCTAAACGTGTAAATAAACGTATTTCAATTGCTGACGTCATGCATGTGAAATTGAAAAGCTTCGTTTTTTCACGGATCTTTTCGATACAAATATGCATTAAATGATAGGTTTAAATGATCAAATTATCTCTTGGCAACTATATACTGTATTGTCATTTGAGAGCACCATATCTATAAGATCCTTCGTTTTTGTCGTGTGGGGATTAATTTATCATTTTCATTTACATAAATAAACTATTTTTAAGACTTTAGTATTCCCCAAAACAAGTGAAAATTGAGCCGAAGGAAGCTACTTATTTGAAAGAGATGAATTGCTGTAAAATTGTATCACATCATTTAAATCTAAATTTTGAGGGAGAGTCGAAATTTAAAAGTATTTCTGAAAATAAGGCCAAAATAATTCTAAGAACTGAAGAGCATTTCCAATTCGCTGCTTTTTTTCTTGCTACTTTCCCCAATCGTTTATAAACAAACCAAAGAAGCTGTTAAATCGTCATCAGTTTCAGGAATTCACTGTCAGAATACCTATATCGAAGATTATCCCATTATTTGATTATATGAGCATTTAAGTTTCATCTTTTGAATATGAAGCGAGGGATGTTCATAAGCTACCGACAAAGCTTTATTTATATGCCTCGTTGCAGAACTAAAAAAAAAATTTTCCTCCAAAAATGGAGAAGAATAAAGAAAAAAAGAAGACCCATTCACATTTAAGATCCATTGTTCGTTCATTTCAGAATGCCGTTTGATGTTTCTCGTCTCCGCGACACAAATAAACAGAGCTGCAAAAGGGCGCGATTGTATAAAAAAAAAAAAAGATATTCACCCCGGGATGGCAACAATAAGCATAGGACTTGAAAACAAGTTGAACTAGTAGCGATTTTCAAGGACAAGAGCTCCTCAAAAGTCAGCATGGTTGTTTTTTTTTTCCTCCATTATTTCATTTATTTTGAAAATTTTGATTTGATTCAATAGTATTTGTTGTATGCGCGGTACGGAGAGAAAGCAGGGCCGTAGCCGTAAGCAGCAGGGTGCTGGATGTAGTTGGAGTAGCCGTAGGCGGCAGCAGGGACGAAGGCGTCCACGCGCTTGGTGAGGTGGAGGTCGGGTTGTGGCACGACGTATGCGCCGAC